TCACGTGACGTCGCCTCCGCGCCGCGCTCACCACCGTCACCAATATGGCTGCCGCCTGCCATTCCGCTACACCACACCACGCCACACCACAACACCACCTACATCACACTGCACACCACACTTCGCCACACCGTGCCACACTACACCACAGCTCTACACACGATACCTGAATTCTAAAGTAAGATTTAACCTTGTTATCATGCAATCCGTAGATACATGCGAACCATTTTTATTAGTGTCTTTTTTGCAACTGTTTCTGTAGAGGAGTACATTTTCTAATACATTAATGTTGTTTGCCCATGAATCATAATTAAGTGCGAATTCAACACGATGTTTGGAACCGATACTACACGTTTGAATGCATTGATGGACTATTCAGGCCTGACATGTGGTATGGTTATAATTTTCAATTGTGATCGTTTCCTATCGCTGTCCCTGTGTGGTCGAGATTCAACGAACAGTCGTTTTAATTATTTCCACCTACCATTCGGCGATCAAGTTTACATACATGTATTGCATTGTTTGCTTCATCGCATGACACTTTTAATGTTGCGTAACTGCATCCACGAGATAGTGGTGTGTGTAATATTTAATGTAAATAGTAGCAAATTACTGCACCCTGTTCTTCATATCCATGATATTTGATCGCTTAGGTTAGCGACACAACGTAATGGTTATTCAACAGATTATTGTCTTTAAATATGCTACCTCAAAGACTTTGAAAAGGTCCTGAACTTACTGAATTTTCTGCAATAAGTCGTACGCCTGCTGGCTACAATGCTTGTACGTTTCGCTTCATTTTGCCTCGAAACTTTAGCCTGATTATGCCTATGAAAAAGACGAGCCAACGAAAGAAATCAGAGAGGAACAAGCATCGATTGAAAGCGATTCGTAAAAGCCACCTCGCTGTCTCCTTAGCTGAACACCCTTGTAATATATCCATGGTTTGTTCTAGTTTTGCATGTATTTTTAAAAAAACCGTGTAGGAATGTGATAAATGCGGAAAGATACAAAGGAATCGAGCTTTCTGCTACTTTTGTGGGGTTGTCCAGCGAATTCCCGTTTGTGCCCATTGTGGTAAACAGAAGTGCATACCAAAGGGTGACTGCGTCGTGAAACACGGTTCTAGTCATGCTACTGGGCTGGCAATGGTGGTAAGCACTTTGCTTGAAGTGAACGTCATTTTCCGTTTGATTCGTACAATTACTTGGGTACGGTTTGTACCGTAAGGCGCTTTGATGCGGATGGTGGAACACAATGCTATCGTAATCCAAGTTATCACAGTTTGCAGTTTTTCTAATAAACATGCGCTAGCCGTTACTCCGTTTAAGATTTACTTGCAAATAGAACTACTTATTGTCTTCGGCATCAGTCATGAACTTGCTTCTTTAAAGCTGACCGTTTATACTAAGTGAAAGTAAATTATGGACGATGGTTCCGTTCGTATGTGTGTAAAACTATTTCAAAAGCGTGATTTTACTTCAGGTCACCTAGTTGTTCGCCATTTGTCCCCAGTCACACTGGGGCAATTTTGTGTTCCGAACTTTCAGTTTCTAAAGTTTAGCGGTCAGTATAACTTCACTTCTGTCTCGAATTGGAAATTCAACTACTGGACGATCCGTTAAGGTTAATGATAAGTCTGTGATGTTTTAGAGAGGTTGGAAATAGCCTCCGAGAGGTGAGAAAAAAAGTGCGGTATTGTTCCATTCAAAGCTGCCTGTATACTCAGCCAACACTTCCACGTTGTCCGTATTTTTTAAATTCGTTCATTTCATATTACTTTTGCACCACTCTACTATTTACTCATGCCCAGGGAGCCATATGTGATTTCTGCGAGGCTTGGATTTGCCATGGACTCAATTGCCTCCAGACTCACGCCTGCTCCTGCCCAATGCAAGAATCCACTTGCGTCGAGTGTGAACGCGACATCTCTGAACATGGCGGCCGAATCTTTTCGTGTGCCTTCTGTGCAAAGTTGTTGTGCGGAGATGACCAATTCGAACATCAGGTGAGCTGATACGTAAATACTAGTATTACGTAGTTGCTGGATTTTTTGTGAATGTGTTTAGTTTATAACCGGAGGCATTGGCTTTTGCGAGTTGTCTTCATTTTCGTTATTTAGAACCCCGAAATATTCCATCATTAATATTGTGGTGATGGCGGCTTAACCAGGCAGTTTTGTTGAAACTGCAGTGATAACCCAGAATTTATGCCTACGTGGATTACCAGACAGCACTAATTATATCAGTAGATTCGTCTCGACGCATATTTTTCTCCCTTGTCACATAATTCTTAATCCTTGTCATCGACTCATCAGCTTCACGTCTTTTTGCACCTATATATTCCAGTGCACGTTAATCCTATACGACAATGGTTCTATCGGCCTGAAGTATTATGCGTCAATTGTCTTCGGTTCCTTCAATTCGGATATTTCGTGACCGATCGGATCGGAACTGCTTTATTAAGCCCACGTTGGAATCATTTCATTCATCAATTTGACCACATCTGTTGACGATATCATGGGTGACGAATCACCGTTTACTGCCGTATTCAATGAACAAAGCATTAAGTTGTTGAGGCGTTTCTAAAATATCACTGTATTCACATACATGTACACTCTAGGCAAGTTGTCAGCGATTAGAGTCTGAGAATTTCAAATGCCCTTCGTGCAACCGAATCGGTACCAATGCTTGCATGAGATGCAAGGCCATCTTCTGCGATGACCATGCTAAACGAAAAGGCTTCAAATATACGCCAGATCAGCCGATACCCTGTCCAAAATGCGGACATCCTCTGGATCAGTCCTTCTGCCTCAGCATTTCAAGTAGGTCGTCCTCAAAACTAGCCTTTGTGTCCACACTTTAGTTTGCAAAGTCAATCCACTAATTGAGTAGCTTAAAGTGTTTCTAGAATCACGTATTATCTGGTTTTCTGAAATTATGTCGATAAAGTATGTTGCATCTCACCAAAGGCACTACTTGTAAGGAGGTTTGCTGAATATATTTGTATTCTTTCAAGATTGTTAAAGTACTGAAACAAGTTATTAGTAGAGCTAAATGAATGTCACCATTTTTTATTCCCAACATCGCTATCTTGCCACTGAATAAGCATTGGACCTTAACGCAAGGGACTTAACTATGCGCAATCGATTAGAAGAGGTAGATCGTACTCAAAAACGAGTCGTTTCACAACATTTGAATACATATTATCAATGGCTCCTGGGGCCATGCAAATTTTACAATCGCATACATTATAATTGAGTCGCAGAAAACTACCCACCAAAATTGCAGTACTTGACTGTTTTTCTGCAACATGATAAACCATGAACAAACCGAACTTCAGAACCACAGTATAACGCCACGGAAGCTTGTACCAGTGATAATCAATTTACCATCGACATGCTCAGGACATTGTGATAGTCACATTTTTAAAGGTTTTGTGTTGGTTTCACTTAACATTAAATTTTGCAGGTGAACACCCATGAAGAAGTGCTCTATCCTATGATCTTTGGGTATAGGTTATAAGTCGCTGATAACAAATGCAACTTTGCACGTGGTAAGCAAACAACTAAATCAGATAGTGGGAAGATGGTGCATTTGATGGTGCGCTTAAATATACGACCGGACGCCGGCATAGGGACATGACTGTATCGAGAATTTACTACACTGAGGAATAGTGCATACGTAGCCCAAGCTCTTCTAGAAAACTATTTTAACCCTTTGCTTAACGAAACGTTCTTTTCAGCCCGACAGTACGCTTTTGGCAGACAGAGGAAGGTATACAACGAAGATGTTGACGATGAAACTAATCTTGGTGATCACCTCCACAACATTCACGAAGACCAATCAGACGAGTATTCTTCACACGAGGAAGATGGCCAAGAAGACGTCTGCATGTCTTTTCGTGATATCAACATTCATGATGAAGTTTAGTGGTTTACGTAAAATCCATTTTTACAACAATGGATTATTGGTTTCCGCGGAGTAGAACTTTGCACATTCCTCACTCGTAGGTAAAAATGCGTAGAAAGCCCATCGTTTATTCAAAATGACTTGAAACGCCGAGAGAATCAATGTGCAATCTAATAGAGGTCATCAGAGAAAGGTGATATTTGAAATCATTAAAGTGAAGATTCGCTGTTATTTGATTACTCGATGACTTCGACATAGTTGCCAGGGAAAAGACCGGTTTGACCATTCATCATAACTCCCTCCCACCAGCCGTCATCGTTTTTCTTAATCACGTAGATCAATTCATTTTCTCCGAAAGTCAGCTCATCGCCCTTGTCTGCGGTGTATTCGTACACTGTCACAACTAAAGAGGACAAGAGCCCAACTAAGTGAGGTTGAAAGAAAGCTCACTTAATAAATATAGTTGAACCGTTTGCACTGTGAAGAGTCCACTACGAGGACGAGGGTTTCAGCGGACAAAACTGATACTTGGGCTGTCGGGGTTCCTGAAGTCGTCCAACAGTCCCGGAATAAGGAGACAGTCCGTTCAACGAGTTAACACCGGCTATTTTCAATTGACTGAAGACCCGTAAATTATTTTTGACGGAAATTTTTAATCTTGTCACTGGTAGTAACGCAAATAGCACCCGTGCTTTCCGATGCGTCATTCCCAGCAGACAAATTAGCCCTGCCAAACTCACAAAATTGCGGGCCGAGTGAGCAACTATCATTTAAAGAGGCGATCCCGAGTCCTGTTCGGTGATTTGTCAATGTGTTGCTGGGAGGAACGGGAGTTGAGCAATTGGCTGTTAATGCAAAAAAACTGGAAAGTTACCAGTGCCCTTACCCTTCTGGATGTATTGGTGCGGAGCCCATGCGGGGTCATTGTGCTGGCGAGGTCTTAAGTGGTCCATAGGACCCGGCTGCAGACGACTTATGTCCACGCTGGCACTGTTCGAAGACTGATTGTACTGTTGTTGGACGTGAGCTGCAAGACTGGCTCCCGTAGACGAAATGGACACCGAGTTATCTAACTGAGTTGTCGGCATCATTGCATTCACCATCTGTGGTCTCGCCGACGCTGCCGCCTCAGTTGAGGGAAGATCGTGCGTGTTAGTCTAAACGAGAAGCGTTACTGGTTTTCGCATTGGTTTAGCATCAGTTCGCGCAAGAAAAATTCCCAATCGGTTTTCGGCTCGAGGTTTTAATGTGATGGATTGTTGGACAGATCGCTAAGTCCTGCTTATTGTTCGAAATCACAGCAGTATTATGTAAGCACGACGAAAGACTAGGCCGATTAGTGGCAACAAGACGATTTCTGGCACTAAGCGCGTGTTTAAACAATTCAAGAATTTCCCAGGCACAAAGGCAATCAGCAGACACCAAATTTCGTACATACGGGCAAAATACAGCACAACCAGAAACGGCGGTACAAAGGGTCTGCCAGCTTGGGCATGTAGCATTACTCAACCACAGAAGGGGAGCGGACTTTTCCAGCTACAATTAGCAGAGACGCAGCGTGAGTTTGATGTATTGTTGTGTGCAAAGGACTTCACATTACCCTAGTGAGAACTTGAAAATCAAAAGGAAGTTCCCAGTTAATACTAAATTACAGCTTCTGCTATAGTTAAGACAATCTCTTCTTGATACAAAAAATCATTGGATCAACCACAATGGCCAGTTGCTGCGACCCACATATTCCCATGAAAAATTGAACTAACGTTTTTAGCATCGGAGTGTAGTTGTGACACGGCTTGGGGTTGATATTGGCCCGGGAAGTGGTGCTGTACGGGGCCCATCGGTACACCACCCGGTGCTGAGTGCTGGCGTGTAAACAGCTGGGACGGAGGTTGAGACGGAGGCGTCTTTTCTTGAGTTGGCGACCGCTGATCCCCAAACAATTGTTGCCTGTTAGCAAATCCGGCCGCCTGCAGTTCCCAGAATGTAAACATCGAGAGTAAGTTTAACAATCAAATCAGAAAATGACCTTGAATCCCTGTGTCAGTCAGTAACCAAGCCAGGGCCATAGCGTGGCATAGGAAGGCGCGGATGCGTCGACTATTTACCATAGCAGCTCGAGTTGAATTAGTTACAACAATTTTCAATGTGAAATTTGCAACGCAATCCGCACTAGTGAAAGTTTTAGATGAAACGATCGCATGAGTGGCGACCAAGGAATAGCTTTCGAGGTTACCTTAAGTATTTGACCACAAGAGGGATGTCTGGTCCACACGAAATACTAGTAATCATCTGCTTGAAAAAAAACCACTAATCTCAACCATAAATGTTATCAAACTAGCTGTCAAGGCCTCAGTGATGTAGGAGGATGGATAAAACGGCACATTTCGAGATAACATTGCGAATGGCCGGTTTCTGGGAGAAACAGGAATTCAATGTTCTTTTTTCCATTAAATAATGGACTGTACAGTTTCTGATGGATGAACTCAAAACTAAATGTACAGTAATTCGGCATTTTTCAGGCTAGATTCAGAGCAACAACTTGCGACAGTGACCGTGAACCTCATTTAAGCCGTAAAGAAGTCCACAAACACTAAGTAGATTAAACTGACCCGCACTACAGGCGGCCAAACGTAGACAGTGGTTCTGGATGTGCCCACTCATGTTTACACTCTGACTTAAAAAGTGACGACATTACCAAAAAATCAACCTATTTTAAGATCATTAAGATAACGCAGTTCCGAATAGCATATATTAAGCCCAAACCTGTGTAGAAAATTATGGAGTGTGATGAAACATTTACTACCGCCGTGATTTCTAGTCTTAAATGAAAAGAGTTGAAGGTCCCATTGCAAGAGCAGAAATGTTTGGATGAGAAACAGGAATCCAAGAGCTTGGCTAATACGATTTCAAGTGTAACCGAGGCATACAGTAGGAAGAATCCAAGAGATTTGGACGCATAAGGCACCACTAGAAGCGTTTTAAGGCGAGTTACAGTCCAGGAATAATGGCCTATAGTCAAAAGCACGGGGATTTGGGCCGTAAGTCCTGTGATCGCCACACATCTATTCAAGAATTAGTATTAGCAGAAACCTACATTTGGGGCAGCCTGATGCTGTGTTTGAGCCAAGTGTATCCCGGAGGGCGTATATCCAGACGCTCGAGGCTGGTTACCGGACGAGCTACTAGAGCGCCTTGATGGTCCGCCTAGTGATCCCGTGGTCGACACGTAACCAGCTGATGTGGCGGGCGGATTTCTACCCACTGACACAAATACCTGATGTTGCTGCCCTCCGTATGGGTTACCGTATTGACCCATCATTCCTGTTCGATAGATCCCAGCGGTACGACCAAGAGTTCCACCTAAACAGTAAACATTTCAGATGGCGAAAAATCTGCACAAGAGTAAAATTTAATACAAGCATGTTTTTAAGACATTATTTACGCAGCGCAATTGAAGACCAACTCATTAAAAATTTTCAAGTTTTGTGTGATTCGTAAATAGGACAAAAGTTAACTCAAAGAGTCTAGCTCCATGGATCTTTACCAAGAACTATTCCAAACATGTAATGGTAATCAGACACTCGCGCAATCCAGTTTCTTAAATGAGGGACAGTGGAAAAAAGACCATTCTGGAAGCAATAACCAAAATAACAATGGTACGAATCTCGATTACACATGTTTTTTATTGAGCTTTTTATTCCACTTGTTCCGAAAACAGTACAGAAAAAAACCATGTAGCGTCCAGTTTTACCTAATCGTAAGATACGTTGTAAGCAAACCACAAGCATTACTTACTTTGATAGCACTCCGGACCAGACACAGAAGTAGCCGCGTACTCCGATCCAAATTTAGAGTTCATGCTTTTGGGGTTTATGGTGTTACCATGCATACCAACCTGATGTGTCAACGTACTTCCCCTGCGCGTCAGTGTTTGTGCATGAGCAGTGGGTGCCCCGTAAGGACTCGATACTGATTCCTAAAATGCCAAAAGAGGAAATCGTTATATAGCATGACAATCCTACCAAACAGGAACAATTATCCTTGTTATTGGGCGACAAAGACAATATATCCGACAGGACACTAAGTGGATCATGGGGCGGTGAGCCCACAAGTGTAGATAAGTAAGAGGGAAAGTTAACAGTGTTTGTACTACAGACTGCATTCCGATGCACCTTATCCACTAAACAAATAAACATGTAAGGAAATTTAAGGAAATGGAGAAATTCAAATATCGGTAAAAAACTGAGTCACATACCTGGGTTTTTACTCCATGTCCGATGTGATCAAGAAGAGAGTAGTCTATGGGACGGCGCACATACTCCGCGGGTGGTTCCTGTCGGAGTTTAGTTAAGGTACACCTAACGGGCTCTTTTGAGATGGTGCATGACCCTATAGCTTTGCGGGCAACTTTTTCACGGCGAATTTTAACCTCCTTAAATCAAGTACTTAAATTAGTGATATAAAAGGCCATACCATTGTTAGTTGTGCAACTTTCTCTTCCACCTCTGACATTTTTTCAGTTCGTTCGTCAAGAAGGCTGAGGAATGCGGTGGCCAGATGACTGAGGTGTTGAATCATGGTCCCCAGGGACTGGGTGGCATACTTCATGGTTTCGTCAATCACTCGCCGCTGACCGTTTGCAGTCGCCTTGTGGTAATTGCTGCTGCAGTACTTAGCTGCTTGGTGGATTTCGCGACACGTGCGATTAAGGGCATTTCGGCCCTCAACCAAATCGTTTTCAACTACTTTCATACAACTGAAAGAGAATAAAAGAACCTACCAATAAAAGTACTATATACGAAGAAATTACACGCTAACAGGAGACTATGGTAGCAAATTGGTACCTGAATAGGTAGACAAGTTTACATGAGCGGGGCAAAACCAGACAGCAGCAAAAAGCAAGGACAAAGCAAAAATATTGGATAACAAAAAAGTACTTGAGGCGAGGAGAAAAATTAATGAGACCCACTTCAAGTCCCCACTTTTTTCAACCAAAGCAAACTGCAAAAAAGACTCCTTATAAAAATACCACATTTTCATCTAGATGACTATATAATTTGCAAAGTGATAGAGCGAAACCACAAACAAGTCATTTAACTGCAAATGTTTGCACAAAGCGATGCAAATCCAAGTATGAGGTGGCTGATATAGCGCTATGCGTGTGCATTCAAAACAATTTCAAGACCGCCACGGAAAGGGAATTGAAAAGACAAGTTCTAAGCATGTGCAACTGCGTAATTATTGGCGGTAAGTTCAACGAGCAGGACCTACGATTAAATACTCTTTGAAAAGGAGCGATGACTTATACCGCCCGAATTTTGAGCGTTGCAGACATACTGAGACTTCGAAAATAGCATGCCTTCAACGAGAACTATCAACTTAAACGAACCCTTAGAAGCATAACGTTGCAGACCACAAATAAGCACAAGAATATGAACAATCAGATGTCAAGTGGTGAATAAAAAAAGTTAAAGAATGAGAAACCGTGACTTTGTCACACATTCCTGCCCATAAATCCAGTGTAAGACTAGGACAACAACCTACGCGAGCCTAAAGTGCCTATTGGACCAAACAGAAGCTCATTGGAACCCTAATTCATGCAGCCCGCTTAAACAAGCATTCTGAGGAATAGTTTCATGGTGGCAGAAGACAATTGAAATTACCAAGTAAATTTGAATTAAAGAAGCCAAATCGCATTTCGTTTTCAGTGAATGCGCTTTTTAGAAACTGAACACGTTGCACTAGGTGACATAAAAATAATTGTAAACGACATTTATGAAATAATTTCAATGTTTTGCACTTTTAAACTTACCTTTTAAGACATGATGTGTAACATGCAATCTTACGTGTGTGTCATAAGATATGATTTCGAGTGCAATTGGCATAAATTCGTTATATTCTTTACTTCCATTCAGGGTGAATTGAAATGTGACGTGCTCATGTATAAAAACGATATATCTGACCACAAAAATACTTTTCGATTCAATTATATTTAAACAATGTGATTTTAGGTAGCATGAGAAGAGGCCAAATCCGTTGCTCATGACTGTTAATAAATTATTATTGTTACATCTTAATATTTAGTAACCCCAAGGAAGTTAAGCTTTGTCCTAACCTGCTCTTCGACGTAATAAACTTGGAACGATACAGAAGGAATTTAAATGAAATCTTCAACGAGCGGTACAATTAAATTATACTTTCTGCAACGGTTAATAAAATCTAATTTGTTACAATGCGACATTTAATATTAGTTAAGTTTTGCTTTTCTATGAAAAATACATTATCACTAGCAACGTAGCTAATATGAGAACTTCTAATACATGTAAGTTTAAGATGCAGTCCAAGTTTTGGTTTCATATTATTTTTGAAGTCAAAGATTCAGAAATTATCTTAAATTTGAGGTCATTTTTACTGAAATACTCATGGCCTATTTAGTTGAGTATTTCATTCAACTCCTTTAGCATAAATATATTACAGTGGAGTGATTGTGAACATGGAGGAATGTACAAAAGTGCCTAAATGTTGATCTTTAGACAAATGTGAGTCTTTTGACAATTACTTTTATTTGGGATTTTGTACATAACTACCGTAATCTCTCTAGATAATAGTTACACTGAATTTGCCTACAATTTTATCTCGAAATCAATGATGTGGACTTGCAAAAATTTCACGTTTTAGGAACGTCAGCTGTGCATGAAATGGTCCACCTTCCCTAATCACGCCACTCAAGTTGGGCACCTAAGCATGGCCCCACACTGACACATCCATTTGCGTTAATCCCCCAGGTTAAGGTCACCCATGACTTGCACAAGCCGTTCATTCTGACAAGTCACTCATCCTTCGGCGGTAACAGTAAAGGTTATATGCACGAGGTCTTGCTCTTGTCCGTGCGGCATGTGCTGTGTGCATTTTGGTTACGGGCAAAATCGTGATATATATGATATTAGTCATGTTTTGTATCAGGAAAGGAATGTCAACTACTATTCAAAAACGACAGGTCTTGCTCAGGAATGCAAGATTTACATCATTGATTTACGTAGTGTTTTTTATTTATTGACATTTTTTACTCTTCTATAAACATTCATGATATTATGGCCTAAATCTGGATTCAGCGTGCGAATAATAAAAGTCATCTGTTTGGATTTTAGGCATATTTCTGCATTGTGTTAATGCCACGTTTTGGAGATTCTATGCTATATCCCCACACAAGTTACTAAAAACGTAATTTTTCATGAATTTTTAGCTCGAACTGTATGCCAGTATATTCAGTTGCGTTTACTATGTCGGTTTTGTGTAATAACAAAACAAAAAATATGATCCTGGATTTGTGCACTTTTTGATGTGTGAGTATACTACTCGGCTACTTGTTTATGGCAAATCTTTTCCTGGAAAGACATGTTTTGTTTTGTACCTATGCGAGTTAGATCACGTTGGGTCAATCATTGGTCACTTAAAATCCCTGAGGGCAAAACTCCTAAAAGACAGTAAAAACATTCATGCTTCTGCGCATGTCTAATTAAGCATTTCTTTTCATATATTGTAGCTAAATCATTATAGCCTAATCGGTCGAATTAATTGCTCGTTGTCAAGATCAGACCCATAAACGAAAAGATTATGTCTTATTTACGGAGCAGTTTTCTAACTAGAAAAAAGATATCTTTTTGATGAAAATAACTGAAAATTGTTACACACGAAGTAATAATAATTACAGTCATGTTTGCTCAGGACAACTAATTTGCGTTTCGCATCACATTTTACATTTATGTAGTCAGCTCGGTTAAATCTGCTCATGGAACTATGGGGCAGTAACGGGATGTCGCAATGAAAATGGATTTCTTCAACACCCAAATCTTAGTAGATTTGATTCAACTCCATTTTTTTCATTTTTGTAAATGAATAAACTGCCTTTGAATACTCCTAATTTCAAAGTTTATTGAGGGTTTTGGCGACCAATGGTAAGGGTTCTGCCTCTTGAGTTTTACTGGCTCCCACTGATGTTGTGCTCAGTTGCAGCCCAATCGAAACACCCCGAATTCGTTTAGCCATAAGCAAATTGGTGATATCTGATTTCACCCCCTTGTGGCTCTCCTATTGATTTATTCTGACGTGGACTTATCGGTTGTTATGAAATGTTCAGTCTGCGACGACCGGGTTATTGGCCGTGAATCAACGCGATTCACTACGCCGTCATTCCCTTTGTCGTTTGTCGATATTTATTTAGTTAAATACCCCTAGAATTTGTCTTAGTGTATCTCGAGAGTAAGCCTTTCAATGATGGATAGACCTCTCGTCCTTCGAATTCAAACTCTCTCAACCATCTTTATTGGAACCAGAAATTTCAAAGTGAAACTTCCCTGGAAGAAAGCCCTGGAATTTTGTTTAAGGAGAGTTTGATGTTTATTCCCTTACACAACAAACCCGAATAACTTTTGTGTTCCTCTTCTTATATTTCTCAAGACACCAGTATCGCTTTTAACATGCTTACTAGTGGGAATGAAGTTGACCCATAATTCCCTGAATGCTCGAAGCGTGTCCTGAACCTTATCTCAGTGTCATCTACGTATGTAATTCATACCTGCACTTTGCCTGACCCTGTTTATATTACGGCATTTTAAGATGGTTTAAGTTGGCCAATGTGCACGCAAAAACAGGGTCACAAAGAAAACTTTCACAGCATTCGAAAGGGAATCTGTTTAGGCGATCAAACATATTTTGATGACTTGTTTGTCTGAGGAAGCCTTAGTTCTTTTAGTTTAATGATGGAGATTGTAAAACACGAGCTCAATGGGGCCGTGGTTTCAAATTACTTAAGTTTCATTCGCAGTAAATTTTTACTACATTAATGACACATAAAATTGTGCCCAATTTGCTTATTTTTTTTCTGAGATAACTTATCATTTAGTGAGGGTTCTGTCAGAAAAAGTTACGGTGTTATGTACACAATTGCCACCACTATTGGCTAGTTCCTAATAAAAGCATAGGCTTACATGAGCGAAATCAAAGACATTTAATAAATGCATTAAGAGTAACGAGTTCATTCGTGTACTTGCACAACTGGCACACTCCTAAAGTTACTCGAACTTGTAAAGGTTGTTTTTTAGCATCTGCCATTACCGGAGTACACAACGGCCCGCCAATTTCCCCCTTACAGTTGCATGCAAAAGCTTTTTCTCTAATGGACTAATTTATGTATACTACGTGAAGCTGTCTTAATTGCTTTTTTGCATAAAAATCCAAATCAAAATATCTTGAATGCTGCTTCAGTACACAAAGGCTCCTATTCAACAATACGCAGTTAATGAAAAGCGATTCTGAGGAAACGACTGCCTCATGGAATAGAAGACGTGGCTTAGCATAATCTATGAAACCTTGTTAAGCGGAGCACTTCTTTAACATCAAACCTGCCAAGTTACAATGCATTTTGAAATTCACCCAGGAAATGCATTCATCTTACGCGACCTCCGAGGGTAGGTAGTGCAAGCTTCAATTATGGTGCAGACTGGACTAGAGTGCTACCGCATCTTTTAATGGCTCGCTTATCGTAGAAATTTGCTCTTGCTCCACGTTCATGAAATGTTCAAAATCAAAAACTAGAGTCCAACTGAAAGAGTTAGTGTTATAAACAATCAAACCATTGAAGTTGACCATCCAAATTTAATGATTGAAACAGTTGAGGATGAAATTTTGGTTGCCGTAAGGACTTTCCCGGTACCCCTATTATCGTTTTGCCAGTATCTAATATGCAGTAGATACAGATGGCGCTAAGTTTCTCGATAGTCGAACCACATTTTTATGCACTGGTACAACGTGACGCATAATCTTTTAAATTAAAACGCATACATAATGGAGATTAACATATGTATAAAGCACTTCTGTTGAGGCTCCTGTCAGTGTACTAAACAAAATCCGATTCACTAAGTAGCTATCATCCATCATAGTGAGCTAACGGATGATGTTTATTTGTAGATGGAAGGCGACTATATCAATAAAATTACGAATCAGTAAGAAACTCGGATATCGGATCTGTTCTTCCGGTAATACTGTTTAAACAAATCAGTTAAGCTGAAATAGTACACTTTAGCTAATGTTTAAAGAAAATTAAATCATTTTTTCTAAAGAAAACATTGTTTCGCTTACACTATTGACTAATTTCCTAAAATTTTCTGCAAGCCTAATGAATTCGTAATACCTCTAACAGCATTTAAACAATTGTATTGAGCTCTCATATGTGAGAATGTGAGCAGACATTCCGCATAATTTTACACCACTTACCTAGAAATGAGACGCATATGAAGTAGTAATGTTGCGATTTTTTGGAATGCTGGATGAATGAATTTTAGTAACTTTAATAATAATGTCAATTCAAAGCAAATATATTTTCTTCAATATTTAAGATATTTAACCAGAGTAGACTTGCATGTACACACCGCATTATCAACACTTAAACCAAATAAACATTTTACAGGTTTGTGCCAAAGTAATCTGAGAGTTCGCAGACGAGATTGCTTGATCTAATTTTAAAGAAGGGGTCAATACGTACGAGTTTGAGAAGAGCGTGAGCAACATACGTCTAGATAAGGTGTCAATGTTTCTTATATTTTTTACTTGTAATTCTACTTACAACATGAGGGTCATTGATAAACTTGTACTTTTGGGCAGAAAGCTGCTCACTGGTACTTAGCCTCCAGTACAGTTTGTCAGGTTGAATATGTGCCCTCATTTCGTACACTTATATTGCTCCCAAAAGATCACTAAACCATCAATTTAATTTTCTTCACTCACAAATGGGGATACCAAAATACTAAGAGGTGGACAAACCACTGATTGGTACAAAAATATGGAGAAATTAGGATGTATTAAGTGTACATTTTTAAGCCATATGATGCCTCCATCTTTTTTTGTTATTTAAATTAATGGGAATGTGTGCCGTTTAAAAGAATTCCGATAAAAATTTGGTCCAAATTAAGTTCGGATGTTTATTTCTTATCAAGACCTTATTTACAAGTTGCAATAAAGTAAGGCAACAATAACTGGAATGGAAACTTCTAATGAAAACCGGTCGACACTTTTATGTAACCATTGTGCTATGTACACACCAAAATGACAAGGCGTTGCAACTGTCTCGTGCACTTTTAGTCAATATTTGAGATAATCATAGGGTCTGTATAAGAAGTTAGATACAATTATTGCTTTCAACGAAACACGTCGTTTTATCGGGGCCAAATATTTTAGTCAATGCCTAATACCGTTTAAACAGGTAAAGGCTAAATTAAACAACGTAAACTTGTACCATGTCAGCCGTTAATGTTATACCTATGTGAATATTTCAACTCAGTTTTCTGCTGTGGTAGGATTTTGTGCCCTCATTGAAAGTTTGTAAAAAACATTTGTCTGACTAACCATTAGACCCTGCTCAGGATTGATGCTTTCAGTAGCTTTAAATTGGGCAGATTTGGTGCAGGTCTCAACTTATATAAGCGGACACAATCTGTCACTTCACCTGACCTTTGGCCAAGGAACCGTGAAGGTGGGGTTTGCGTTACACAGAGGAGTTGTGCAATGGCTCTCTGGGCAAGTGCGCTTAGACGTGGCCAAAAACGCATTAATCATCCTTCGAGTTGATCACTGATACCTTTGTTTGGCTTTTATTGTATTCTTGCCCAATTTTTAGAAATCTATGAATTTTGAAAGCACAGTCAACAATTTACAGAAGTTACAAGGAGTCCCAGATTATCTCTTGTTTATTATAATTATGTATTCTTCACCATTCATAAATTAGCTTAAAAACTTGCCAAAAAAGACCAGATTATCTGGTTAAGTGGTTGGTATTTTTGTAGGTTAGAGAAATTGCCTTTAATGTTGGGAGCTAGAAAGTGATTTTTAGGGTCTCGAAGATTGGTTTAACACGGGCTATTGAAGGCATTCGCAAGTAGCTTTTAAAGTTTTGTATGCTTAAGAGGTTGCATAATTACTCGTTCAAGTGCCGAAATGGCTAAACTATGATGTTTGTTTTAATTGTAGCAACTCTTTGAAAAAACCCCTAAGCTTGTCCAAGGATTGTAAAAATCACGGTTTAAGATTCCCACAAATGACAGATTTGCCATCAAGATTCGATAAAAAGGTTATAAAATTAATGAAAAAGATGGATTTAAAGCATCTGACGTGTTCTAAGTTGCAAAAAAGTGAACATAGGTTACATTGCTGCAATTGAGGTTTGATACGTATAAGATCAGGTGCTCGTTTGGCTTGATACAGAAGTTGTCCACCGTTCAAAAAGACAAGAAATTAGTAGCTGATTTGGACTGACAAGAAACATAACTGCTGAATGATGCTAAATTAGTCGCAAAATTCAACTTTAATTATCATAAGGATATTAGAAGCATATACATCAGAAGCACATCTGCATACCTCTGACTAAACAAACTAATGCAGACTATTAAATTCGGTGTTTAAAGGCATATGAACTACCCATACTAGATATGGAGAATTTAATTCACTCACAATAACTGCTAATCAACCAGTTTATTTTGATGGTGAGTAAAACGGGAAGGAGGTTTTGGAGGTTTGCGAATCAAAGGCGTACCCCAGTAGCATCAAATTCGAACCACCATATTCTTTAAAAATATAATAGTTAAACATTGTGTTTTTAGTTGTACATACCAAGTTTGCATTTCAGTTACAGTGATTGCTCCAATAACACGTGACGCCATAAAAAATGTATAACTGGAATCGTTTTTCATTGGCTCGATTTTTATTTAACATCTTTTTTGTTATTTGGTTTGCTTCTTATCAAACGACGCTCGAAACTTATGAAAATGTGTAAATTTAACAAGGAATACACTAAGAGCATATTTATGCGAAAATTAATACTCAACAATGATATAATATTAGTTTGCAGGGTATTTCAATTACATAATCTCTTTTGGTTAATCCCGAATTACATGACGTCCGGGTCGGATGATGGGTCCCAAATAAGGCTCTGCTTATTTTGAGTGACAAATGCAATTTATATTCTATAAGTAACTGTACGTTACCTAAACACCAAGTGTTACGCTCTGTATAGGCAGCTTCGTGTGTGAAAGAAAGCAATTTTTATGTGAACATTCATTGCTCTCTAGAAAACTAATTTTCAATTGTTTTGGAGCTTAAAGCATTGATTCTATATTGAACGATCATATAAGGTCATGTTGGAGATCAGTTTTTGAATCCAAAAACCTTTAGAATGTGAATTTGTCAAGACCCCTAGATTCTGGTATTTAAAATGCTACACAGCCAAAAACGTTTTTTTCGATAACGACTTAATGCACGCACGCTTCTGATTTTCTATTGGCTAGCGCCATTTGTTGGCTATGCCCGTGCCACTCCGAAAGCCACCCAACCATTCGCCATCGTTAAAATTATCAGTCCCATCGGTTTGAACATTTTGCAGGGAGGCTGCAGCGAGACTTACCAGAATGGAGAGTTGTGTGGTCACTGTAAATACCCTTGTCACAATTGTGGCCTACTTTCGGTTCTTTGTATCTCCTCTTCTATTTTTACTCGGATTCTCTGCCAACGTAATGACTTTTTATCTGTTTTTCACAAACAAGCCCCTCACACGCTATAATCTCTATCCAATGGCTTTAAGCATTTTTGAATCAGTTGTGCTTATTCTGAATGCATTAATTGATGACTTTTTGGGCCGTGGGCTACGCTATTTCACAAATGGAAAAGTCAACATAAAGCTTGATGCTGTTTCCACCGCAGCCTGTCAGTTTTTTGAATTTGCAGAGCTATGGAATGGCTTTATAGCCGCCTACATTATGCTTGCGTTTGGAATTGACCGAGTGTTATCTATCAGCCTTCCTCATAAGTTTCATCGGGACCTTCTTATTAACGAAACTCTGATCGTCTACATGGCAATAATGATTGTTGGAGCCGCACTAAGCGCACCCGTCGCGGCGAATTTCGGAATTAAGTACGACGAGCATGATACAATTAAGCCATGGCATCCACAGGCTCGCAGTAAGCGATGATATAAAAGTGTTTTGCAACATTCAAGTGCAATAATATTCCAAGATTTCTTATGTTATTCAATAATGGAGAAACAGTGATAAACCTGAGCAATTTATAATAGAGTGTGTAAGTATTAAAAAATAGTTCATTGCATTTAAAAAAAATATCTCCGTGTAATTCTTCCTAATATCATTCCATGCCACCACTTATATATCACTTCATATCATCATTTTATTGGACACCTTAAAGATATCTTTGGATCACGCGGACCTTAGGGATTTTAGATTCCTTAATCAGCACCAGGCAATACCGTGACCAAAGTAGAGGAATCATAGTACTAACTCGTATATGAAATATACACCTCGAGCACCAAATAAATGTCAATAAGAGGGGGACGTAGTTAGCATCAGTTAAAAAAGGAAAATAAATGTAGACTCGTGTCGCGAAAACCACACAAAAGCATAGTGTTTAATTCATAATTAGGAAAAGGGTCTTAGAAAGGCCAACTTACGAAGGCAAAATCAAGCCTAGGTGGCAGTTTTGAAAGATAATATTGCAGTGCTAAGTCTATGAGTCTTAGGAAGTCAAATGAACACATATCATATTAAGTATGCTATTGATGTAATTTCTTTTTGTTTAAATACTTAGTAGATTTAAATTCATGTCGAGGAACGTCCTATATTGTGGTCTAAAACGCACAATAATTTGTTATAACTAGTTAAAAAAATTGAACCCAAAGTGCCAGATAAAAAGGAATTGATGCTTTGTTTTCATTGGAGGAGCCGCTAAATACTCACTAGTATCTTTCATTCAATGTCGATGACTTTTTTATTAAACATTCAAGCCAGTTGGATCTGGTAAAAATTAAGCCAGTTGAGAGACTTTTGTGATCTGTCTAGAGTGCTTGATAAAACACATCAAGTATTTCATTGATGCAACAACTTGATCAGGTGGCTTTATGCTTGATAGTGTAAATGTGATATTTGATTCGAGGAGAATGAAAAAAATTGGGCTCAAAACTTATATTGTATATAAATTTTAAAATTTTTAGTAAACAAACATTTTTTGAAAATTCATTTTGTCTGGTTTTATTATCCTAATTAATATTTGCTACAATAGAATCACTTTATTGAAATACCAGGAAATACAAAAAGGTCAATACAAATTATTGAATTTCTACAGCCTTTTAGAGGATGAAAATATGTTTAACAATACACTGGAAAATAAGGTTGGAAGAAAAATGACAAACAGTAGATAAAGCGTTATCCCTGAGCCCCTAGTTAAGGATATTTTGCGGCATTTTAGGAGTTCAGCCAATATGTTCATTTTCCAGTAAAATCCATCATCACTTTTTGGTCATAACAAAACTTTATTTAGGCACATTGAAGAATTGATAGCCTGGTATGATGAAAATGCATTTTTTTTCTTTTTTTGAGATTTTTATCATTGAAATAAGCAAAAAATACAATGAAGGCGTTACTTAATGTTGATTCTTCATTTTTTAGGTTTAAACAAAACCGTTATCTGCACATTCACAACGCACAATGGATCCCGTTTTTACACAAAAGTTTATGTTAGTGTCATTAGCTTTCTTATCCCAACATTTCTTCTCGTTCTCATTAACTGTATACTAATAGGGCAAATCGCCAAATTTCTTCGTCGGCGCAGAAAAATTTTAGCCGTGAAGGTAAATCGTACTCAAACACAGTCAGTCAGCATTGACCAGAGCGAAAGCAGGACAGAAATGAAAAGGGTCTTCACCTACCTTCTCATTTCCTTCATTACCTTTGCCTTCACCCTCCCCTTTACAGTGACAATTTGCATTCGTGCAGGCTACACAGCAGCGACACCATTTTGC